GTATGAGCTCCATCGTGAGATTCTGGATTGTAGGATGGAGAAGGGAGCCACAGTTCATGATAATGTTTTCAAAATGATCGGCCTAATTCATAGTATGGAAAAACTAGGGCACCCATACAGTGATGATTTGGCAACATACATCATTCTCCATTCACTACTAGAAATTTTCAACCAGTTTATCATGGATTTTAACATGACTGCCACTACAAAGACTGTGAATCAATTGCATGCAATGTTGGTTAGTGATGAGAAACAAATCCCTAAGGAACCTAAGAAGGAAGTTCTTATGATTCAAAAGGGAAAGGGGTTCAAGAAGAAGGGGAAAAAGGCTAGTGCCAAGAGAAAGAGTAAGCAAGTTGCCAAGGCTCATGAGAAGCCTAAGATGACTCCAAAGCCCAAGGCTGCAAGTGAAAGTGAATGCTTTTACTGCAAAAAGAAGGGGCATTGGAAGCGTAATTGCCATAAATACCACGACTTCCTCAAGAAGAATGGAGCATCAACCTCAGGTATTATGTTATAAACATTTTAACCTTCATTTAGGTATGTGATATCAAGTTGCAGTGCTTAACATAATGATGTTGCGCAGGAACTGCAAATAAGTGAAGCTAGCATGAAAATGGAGCTTGAAGGTGCACTAGAAGTATTTGAGTGGCCAGAGATAGCTTCATAGTTTTAAATTTTGATTAATTATCATGATTTTAGAACAATTTCCAGTTTTGATGAGACAGTATTTTGGTTTTTTTGTTTTGAATACTAAATTTGGTTTACTTGGCTTGGACAAGTGTTGATCTATGACCAAGGTAATAAATTGTTTTCTTTTTGCTAGATATGAGTTAATTTTGTTTTATAACATTGATATAAGTAGATCACAAAATAATTTAGATGATTTAAAGTACACTTACTTATAACAAGTAATGCTAGGTCACATAAACCATTTGCACATCCAAAGTTATGGATGGACTCTTATTCTTATATGATTATGAATCACTTGAGACTTAGAATTCATGCTTGATAAGTTAAAATGACCAAGACTCCTTTTAGTATAAAGGGTAAAGGAAGCTAAAATGACCTTTTGGTACTCATACATATGATGTATGTGAATCAATAAGTTCAAAACTAGCAAAGGGATTTAACTATTTCATCGCTTTTACTGACGATTTAAGTAAATATATTGATTATTACTTAAAGAAGTAAAGCTTGGAAACATTGAAATGTTCAAAATTCAAAAATGAAATGTAAAATCAGTTTGAGATGAACAATTTAACACCACAATATAATTGTTGTGATAAATATTTACTCAAAAGGAATGATCATCTAGAGGGAATTGTTGAATTAATTCACAATCCAGAAACATTACAATTAAAGTGTATGTTTATGAAGAATGAATCAAACTTTGCTTGCCATTGTTTGATCCAAGATTTAATGATTTACAAATATCGCCTTGAGGATATACATTACAACAACAATTGCGAATATACCAAACAGGAAACTTAACCAAAGCAGTAGAAAAGATGTCATAAGAGTTATGATTTGGAAATGTTCCAAAAGTTATCTTTTCTAAACAGGATTAAGGGTTATGAAATCAATGTAAAATGTTTACTAAGATGACATAATACACCCTAAATCAGAAAAATTGTTCTTCATGGGTTTTCTCATGGAAACTAAGAGGTATTATTCCTACAATCGCGTAGAAACAAAGTGTTTGTTGCTCGCGATAGTGTCTTTATAGAAAGAATGTCTTCCTACAAAGCCAAGTGGGAGTAAATTTAGATCTCGATGAGATTCGAGACGAGCAACAAATGGATGTGGATAACACTACATCAGAGACGAAGGCATATGAAATCAGCTAATTTGATAAACCATGTACCGAAGCAAACTAATTCCACTAGTGAGGCTTTTATCGTCCCACTAGAATGAAAGGCTTTAAAGAGTAGAAGAGAATAATTCTATTGTCGCTCATACCTATCTTAGGTTACTTGGGATCAAAACAAACAATTTGTTGAAATTCTGAGAAAAGGTGGATTCTAAAATTTTCTTATTAGAACGGTTAGAATCCATGCCCTACAAGAAAGCTTTGGATAAGTGCCAACTCAGGAAATGGCCTAAAAGCCATGAAATCCAGTATGGACTCCATGTTTGTAAAAATGTGTTAGTCCATAACAGTCTTACAAATAGGGTCAAACTTATTAGTTGGGTAAGCCTATTCGGATTATTCTAGTTATGGAGATCAAAAATCACCTTCATGAAATGTTCTTGATGGTGAGTATGTATATTATACATCCTAAGAGTTTTGAAATACATAAATTCCTAGAAAGTTTTGCAAACTTCAGAAATTAAATTTATGGATTGAAGTAAGCATTAAGGAGTTGGAACATCGGTTTTGATTAGGCAATCAAACAGTTTGATTTCCTTAGTAGAACAAAAGAACTCTTGTAGAGACAAGAAGTTTAGTAGGAGCAATTGGTCTTCTTAGTCTAGTATGTAGTTGACATACAATTCATATGAAATGATATATCAATGCTTGAATGAGTCAAGCAATGGTTAGAAAGATTGTTTCTATATAAGAGACTTAGGAGATATTGAGTTCATATTGGGAATCAAGATCGATCCATGAAGTGAATCTTGAAGAATGATTGGAATGAATCGAGAGACTTATGTTGATAAGGATCTTGACAAGTTCATGAAGCAAGAATCTTAGAGAGGATATCTTCCCATGTTTCATGCTATTACACTCAGTAAAACTTAGTGCCTTCAAAAGCTAATAGAGTTGAGTAGTATGGATAATGGACCTCATGCTTATGCAAAAAGGATCCATTACATGTGCCATGAAATGTACAAAGCAAGATTTTGCATATGACTTGTGCATGTGTAGCAAAACTCAAGCAAATTCAGAATAAGCATACGGAGAATTACCAATAATAAATCCTTGAGTACTTGAGAAGCACTAAAAAGGAATTCTTCTAGCTATTATGTTAAATGGTAATTGAAGCAAGTTGTCAAAAGCTTACAGAAATGCAAGTTTCAAGTTTTCCAAACACGCAAGATGATTCTAGATGGTGATCTGAATGCATATTTGTGTCCGGATGGAAAAGGACAGTGAGTTTGAAGAGTTCAAAGCAGAGCACTATTGCATACTCAATGTCAGATTATGTGTATTAAACTATAGTTAGATAGTTAGAGAGTTAGTTCGGATTAAAATGTCATATGACTAACAGGTCACCTTTGCCCAAGAACAAAGGAGCCAGAGTCACATCACAAATCCAAACAAAAGGATATGAGATATCACCTCAATTATGAGATCATTAACCAGTGGAAGGTCGTGTTCTGCAAAGTTTCATTATGAGTGAGAAATCACTAAACCCCTTCCATGGACTAAGGTATGAGAGTCATATTAAAGTCCTAGGATTGAAGCAAGTTGTGTAATTTAAGTTGTATATGCTTTAAGAACGTAGATGATGAGGGATGTTCATCATATCAAAGAACTGCGCCGAACGAGGAGTATGCTCCCCACCAGCTCTAGCTCTAGTCTCACCAAGAGGTGGAAAACTCAGCTCTGAAACCGTCCAATAAAGGTCGTTTTGGGGATGAATCAGCAAGGGCTGAGGTTATGGAGGTTGCTTCTACGACGAGCCAACCTCGTACGTCCCACAACCTCTCGAAGCCGAAGTAGCCTCTCCTTGGCCTACCGGCCCAGCATGTACACCCTCAGATGAAGAGCCCGAGCCCTCCACCGCCTCGGTCCGGGCAACGTAAGATCGACCACCCTGACCGCCAGAACTAGTGCGGTGACGCCTCGAGCTAGACCTGGCCGAATCTCTCCGAACCTCAGGTTTCGTCCGAGTACGGGAAGGAATGGGTCATCCTTGCAAGAAGAAATCAAGTCAGAAGCAATCAAAATGGAAATATAAACAATGCAGAAATAAAGAGAAAAAGCTACCTCATGAACAACAGCGTCGCGACGACAGGTAGCCACATTCCTCATCCGCACGAGCTGGCTCCGTAAGGCGTCTATGCACCTCGCCATCGCCGTAACCACCTCGCGCGAGAACTGTCAAAGAAATAAAATCAGTAATAATACAAGACAGATATGAACAAATAGCAAGTAAATAACTAACCCGAGTCTGGTGGCGAGGAATGGATCGCTCCACAAATCTCTGATCCTCGGGTGCCGGGGGGATCATCTCCTCGATGGCCCCGTATGTCCCCTGGTAGTGGATGAACATATGAGGGGGTACGAACTCAGTAAGCCCAGCCTGGCAAAAAAAAAAGCAAATAAAAGTGAATAACATATCACTTGGGGGCTACTTAGCAAAAGGTAAAGGATATAAAAATCATACCGCCGCCTCTGCTTACGAAACAGGGGCCATAGCTAACAACGGCAGTAAATCCTCCTCGTAGCACCGCCCTAGGATAACATGAGATTGCCAAGGGGTACCAGTCGGCTACCTCTTCGACATGCTGAGCAGCCTAATGCCATTGAACATGTGACATGGTGGAGGAACATGGAAGACAAGAATCTCCGAGGAGTGATGAATAGCGACTCTCTCTCCTAGGTACGTCGCCTCCCTATATGTCCCTAGGAAGTAGCGACGCTCAACAGTGTACTGCGCGGCCAGCCTAGGGATAACAAAACCGCCCCATGGCCTGAATAGCACCTAAGGCTCCTGCAAAGAATGCCTATGAGATAAAGATCCACCAAAAAGAAATACAAATATGTTAACTATGCAAAAGATTATACCAAAAGGATCTGCTCTCGAACATAGGTGGTTGTCGTCCGGCTGTAGCGGCCTCCCCAGCAGACACTAACAGGAAACTCGCGTGGCGATGGCCTCACCGACGCGAGTGAAGAAAAGTACTCGTAGAACCAAATCTACAAAAGGTAAAAGATACAATAGTACAAAATTGAGGTTAAGTAACACTTAATGGTAACACTTTAAAAATTTTATGATTCTTGGATTTTTATGTAACAATTTGGTATTAAGTAACATTGTTTGTAACACTTTAATATTATGTAACACTTTGATCTTAGGTAGCACTTGGTTGTAACACTTGGCTATTTTTTTTTTATTTAACGACAACCCCTTTTTTTCTGTTTAAAACCACTATGTGAATAAAAAAAAATTAAATAAAAAATAGACCCTCACAGCGGCACTGTCTCCTAACTTTCTTCCTCCCTCGTCTCTTTACGCTGCGCCTCCTCGGCTTCCACCGTTACGACGCTACCCACTTTTCTTTCTTGATGCTCTACTGCAGTCTGCAGTCCCCAATCCCCATAGCCCTATCCACAGCAGCCTCCCTCCATCGATACTCGTTTTTTTAACTTGAAGACATACACAACAACCCTCCAAGTTGAAGAGACAGCGATTGCGACCTCCAAAGCCATCGATTGTAACCTCCTGGCCTCCATCCTTGGAGGCTTCCTAAGGGTTAAGGTCAGTTCAGTTCCTCTCCCTTCCATTATCAACCAAAATTTAAGCTAAATAAAGTTAGGGTCTCAATTCCCTCTCTTAGTCTTTTGGATCTTGTTGATGATTTCTCAATTTGATGTTGAATTTGCCTATTAACATATTCAATTTTGCTAATTTCATACCGAATTTTGCATGCATTTGAATTGGTTGAAGTAATTAGACGAGTTTGGGATTTTTGTTTTTTTTTTCAATTACTATTGATTTGATTTACCTTGTAATTTTATCATTGTTGGCTAATCTGAACAATTTTAACTTAATTGTATTATTTTCTATATTGATTCCTCATAAGTTTGTCGAGAATGCAAGTAATTGTGGGAGAAATATATGTAGGAATGTAATGCCACTTATAATTGGAGGAATGGTGTTTGTCATTTAAGCTAGTGCTACTATACTGCCAAAACCTTTACTAACAAGTTTGTTTTTTAAAAATAAAAAATAAAATAAACTAAGCTCTTATTATGAAACTAGGTTTTTATTTTTTATTATCCGAATACTTACTATTATTATTATTATTATTATTATTATTATTATTATTATTATTATTATTATTATTATTATTATTATTATTATTATTATTATTATTATTATTATTATTATTTGTTACTTTTGTATGAAATTTGTGATGATTGCATCAATTAACACATTTTTTACGCTTTAATTTTGTGGGGCTTAAGATGATTAAGTAGCTAATTTCCTACAATTTACCCATTTCTGGAATTCACTTTATTTTCTTTTGGGTTTTTAGGTGTCTGATTAGTTTTGCTTTAACTTCAGTCAAAAAACTCATTTATACTTTGTTTATCACTTTCTCATGGCTGCATAATCAGTTACTTCTAGTCAATCTCGCATTTGTAAGTTTACATAACAGATTTATACAATTGGCAAGTAGATGATAATGACAATAGGGAATCTACAAAGTTGTAGGAAAAAGCGGTGAATTAGGAATTAGCTAGATTAAAGGATAATTTGTACTATCATGTAATTAGTATGCTGATCCATATTGTGAATTAGTGGCTATGTATTTGTATTAGAAACTACGAGATTGTTTGAACCTTAGAGAGCATGGTTTTAATGTTTCCATATCTTTATATGCCTATTATCTATATGTGAATTAGTGAGAGACCAAACGCTAAAGATTTACTTTTCTCAAGAAAAATATTTACTCTACCCATTCTCTCCACTTTGCTGTAGTGAACATTCCACTGATCTTTTCAATAGACGACAGCAGAAATACAATCTTTTTTGTAGAAGTAAAAAACAAAGTGTTAGTCATTATTTACTTAATATGCACACGAACATGAAGAATAGTTCACTCGGTGCTCCCTCATGGCTGTGTAAGCTGCTCCCCTACTGCCCTTATTGTATTGAGATAACGGGTAAGTCCTGTAAGTCCTTTGCATCATATTTTTCAATATAAATCAGACTTTTATATGTTGTGTTAATATAACGTTAGTTGGGGAATACTATATCTTGCTTAGGTTGCAACTATAGGTCTATAGCAGAAGCAATTTATAGTGTAAGGGCAAAATATTGTATTCAGATAACAAGTATAACTCATACTAGCCTACTGAAATTGCTCCTAGAGTGTTGTATAAAGCTCAAAGAATCAATTTTTTTTCCGCAGACCTAATTTTCATGATTCTTTACATTACAATAAAATATACTCCATATTTTAAGATCTCGGGCGAGCCACCTATAGAAGAGATCCTTGCCTCAAGAAGGAATAAGGTATACTCTGTAGCTAGATAAATGCTTTGAATTTAATAGCCTTTTCTTTAAAATACTCCGTATCTAAACCTCAAACACTTTACAAATTTATTTTGCATGTTTAATAATTTAGTATTCACATCTCAATATAATAATGCATGAGAAAATCCTATAAGTTTATGCCATTTGAATGCTATAAACATTCTAATTTTTCCAACTTACTGCCTTTGCGTTTGTGTGTGTTTTGACAATCACTTTTATTTTTATAAGTCGTCTTGTTTATGTAGCTTATATAGTATTTGATTTCTTTCTGAAGAATATTAATTCAAAATTTGCACTTTTGTAACTTGACTTCTTTTTCGTACAGGATGAAATGTGTAATTTAATGACTAGCAAATCTTGCATAATGTGAAGATTCCAAGAGCTTCAGGAATGACCGGGATGTCATTAATCCTTGCAGTTTAAAGCAGAGAAGCACCCCAATATACATACATATTTCATACTTATGAAATTAAAGTAGCTCATGTATACATAAAGTTCTATATTGGATATTCAAATGAAATTTGAGATCCATATTGTACAACTAATAACATTGCATGCATGAAGTAAACATTTATTGTTTACTCATTGTTGGGTGTATATGGATTTATTAATGAAAATATATAATTATATCAAATCAAATTATTGTCTATAGTAGTAGTAGTAGTAGTAGTAGTAGTAGTAGAAGTAGAAGTAGCAGTAGCAGTAGCAGTAGTTTGGTGTTAAATAAAAAAGGTGTTACATTAATATGCAAAAAGTGAAACAAAATGTCGAATATATTGATACTACATGTGAAAGATGATTGAAAAATGTTACCTAATAATCAACAAGGTGTTACATTAGTTCACAAAAGTGATACATAATGTTTAATTAAATGTTACTATATGCTTGAAAAATGTTACTAAAGATAAGTAAGTGTTACATAAGAAATAAAAAGTAACACTTTAAAAATGATACTATTAATATAAAAGTGCTACAAAAGAGGGTCTATAGTATCATTTTTAATAGTCTTACCATACGTTACCAAAAGTGTTACATAAGACCTTAGGTAACATGGGCGGATGTATCACCCACTAAAGTGTTACTTATTATCTATAATAACACTTTTACTACTTTATGTAGCACTTTTTAGGTGTTACTTAAGATTAATTACGTACTAGTGATATCAGCAAATGCTAACAAGAGCTTAGAGCTAACTTTGTAAGAGATGAAGTATACCTCTACGACTCTCCAACAGCCGGACAGAGCGATGTCTCCCGTGTTAGACCGGTGTCGACTGGAGTCTCGCAATGCATGTAGAAAGTCCGCATAGGCCAAGCTGGCCCAGTCATAAGTCCCGATCAAGTGAAGATCGCGGACAATAGGAAGGTAGTAAAGCAGCACTCTACTACCCTTGTCAGGGGAAAACGTCTCTGACAGCAAAATAAGCGCAAAGATGCGCCCCGCTGCTCACAGGTGGTCACATCATCCTCGAAAACTGCCGCCAAAGTGGATCGGTGAATGCACTTGGAGATGAATCGTGATGGCTCCACCTCAGCACGGGTCCGAAGAGCAATCGGACCTAGTAGCTCGTCAACCTCAGGAGAGTAGACGCTCATGTTGTTGTCGAACGGCAGAGGGGTAGAACTAAACTCCAGTCCCGAGATGGGACTGAAGTCGACTGGGGTGACTATCATCTCACCCCAAGGAAAGTTAAAGTTGTTGGTGGTGTCCTAAAAGAACTCCACCAGAGCACAAACCACACGGTGACCCCTGTCAAAAGTGCTCATGGCCTGCGTGCCCTGAAACAGGGAAGTCATCTTACAAGACTACCAGAGAAGCCGCAAACCCTCGTCGACGCTGAAGATTGTCCTATATAGCTTTCCCAGGGTGTCGTCGCCTGAGCTTGGCAACGTGTCCTACCAGTAGTGATAACGTGACGCACCCTCTAAGAAATGTAGTGGTGAGGAGCAAAGTACAATGTCCACTCATCCCACTCGGGGAAGGGACCAAGAGAAGTGGACGGGTCGGCGTCCACCTTAACAGGCTCATGCTCTCGTCGCGTATCTTGTTACCGTGAACCTGAACCTTGCTGACTAGCCATACTACATTGCGCAAAATTGACGAAAATGAAGTTTCTATAGTATCTAAGGTTCCCCTAGCCGCAAGATACTATGTTCGCCAAAAACAGAGTACGTAGTACAAAAACAGAGCACAATTTCAATTCAAGCGTATATGGCATTTTTCAAGAACCCAAACAATTTCTTGCAATACTATGATAATTTTGTGACAAATTGGACAAGAATTGCTAGCAAAAACATCAAGAACGAGTCACACTGTTTTCCCAACCTTAAGAGGTCCAACAATGGTGAATTTTTCGTTTCTTTACCAAATTGAGTCAAACAAGTCTCAAAATACACCCATGGAAATATAAAAACATAATCAAGCAATTTCGTGGCATAAAACTTGACAAACAAAGCAAATTAAGCAATATAAGTTTCGAATTTTCAAGAAATTCGTGAGCAAACTTGTGCGAAATTTATCAAATATCGAGAGAGTTTGGAAAAAACTTACATTTTAAACAAATTTGAGCGAATTTGGCTGAGAAACGAGCAAGTTTGAGCAATTCGAACTCTCGCGGCGAACTCAAGAAGAAAAGAGCAGCAGCAGCAAAATGACGAAGAAAAGGGATTTATTCGGAAATCTCGATTCTGGCGCCAAACGACAACTCTCTCGCCTGGCGATAGAGTGCCGCTTCTGGCGACAAAGCAAAATTATGGCGCCAGCGGCGTTGCAGCTGCGACAGAGCTCGAAACCTCTCAGAACGGTTATTTCGACCTCGTACAACAATTTTGGGTTCCTTGGCACGCCAGTTAGCCCCTATAAGTAATTTGACATGGTTTAGTAATCGGCTCGGTGACAATCGTATCAAGTGATCGATCTGATAAATTATCGTCACGCTTAGCGTAAAGCGCCTAAGCATTGGCACATCGCAAAGGCACCGATATAATGGTTCACAATAAACACAAAGGCACCAACATACTTGTTTACAATTCAAAAGCATCGACATACTGGTTCAAGCAGTAAAGCGTTGACGCACTGGCATAGCAAAAGCAAAGGATCGACAGGCGTTGGTCTTTGGTGATACTCTTCAGGGTATTGTCGCAACAACTGAAGATAGTTTCAGGCGAAGCATTCTTTGATCGTGTTCCCTGGCTTGCGGAAGATGGTTACAAAGCGCTAGAAGGTCGTTTCAGGCGAAGCAATATTCGATGGGGTTTTCTAGCTTGCAGAAGTCTATCATGGCGGAATTGGAGGCAGTTACAAGCGTAGCAGTCTTCAGGCAGGTTCTCTTACTTGCGGAAGATCGTCAAAACAAACAGCAGGATGGCGTTCCTTAGCTTGTGGAAGGTTGTCAACAACAGCAAATGCAACACAACAATCCGGTTAATCCTTCAGAGACGTGTGCTCGACGGTGCAAGATACAATTTTCTTAACCCCCTTATCTGTTTATATAACGCTAGTTTGCAGGTATCGGCGTTGCAAGAATGATTTAGAATCGCAGAACGTTCTGAATCATTCTCCGTCCCTATCGCTACTTTGACTTTTGTTTTTGAAACTTGAATTTAGTCAAAGTGGTTCAGAGAGTCTAGACACTAAGTCTCATGGTCTTACACAAGAGTCAAAGCATGTCACTCACACTCACATATAAAGCACACACTAATATGTATGTACACTTTGACCATGTTAAGAGAGTCTTGGATGCACGTGTCTTCAGTCATTTTTGTTTGGGGGATAAGTCAAACATTAATCCTCTAATTAAACCATTTTTTTAAACCTTATACTTGATCCCAAAAATATACACCCTATTTTTGCTTTTTCTTTATAAACCAGTAAAGTGAAATTCAATTTGAGTCAAGTCATTAAAATAAAAATGGTTTAATTTACAGCGCCCGGTCAAGAAAGGAAGGGCGTTTGATCAGAGACAACCTTTTCGTTCAAGTACAAATTTTTGACAAACCAATTGCTCGAAATAGAAAAGCCAAGAAGATAATGGCGAGTCAAGAAGAAGTTAACGAGCTCAAGAAGCAAATGGCTGGTGTTACTGAATTACTGAAGACCTTAACGCTCCAAATTAATGACCCTGTGAAGCAACAACAAGTGGGTCTCATGCAAGAAAGCTTGAGCAAGCTATCAAATGACTACAAGGTTGACGACATTAGTTCACAAAGGGGTCTCGGTGGACAAAGAGCTTCTTCCGCAGAAGTTCAATGCCAACGACATCCCAAAATTCAAGGCAATTGATAACTCTTATTTTCATATAAGAGCTTTTGAAACAGTAATGAGTATTAAGGGTATTGATAAAAATGTAATTGCTTCTCTATTTTCCTTATCTCTTGAAACCGTTTGCCAACAATAGTTTTCTCCCTTGAAAAAGAGAAAAACTCTACTTGGGAATCAATAGTAAACGCTTTCATTGATAGGTATAAATGCAATATTCAAGTTGAAACTTATCATAGGGAACTTGAAATACTTAAACAGAAAGAGAATGAAGGTTTCACTTCTTTCTTTAATAAATGGAGAGAAACCTCTTCTTGGATGATTGAAGTACCAAGCGAAAAATAATTTGTTAGGATGTTCATCAAGAACCTTCAAGAAAAGTACTCCAAGCATCTGAAATATCAAACCAATCTACATACCTTCAAGGCCGTCTATGACATTGGAATTAACATTTAAGACGACCTTGCTAAACTAAAAGCTGCTAATAATGACTCCAAAAGTGGCTGAAAGGCAAAAAGAACGAAAATACTTCTTCTTCCAAAACCACCCACTTAAACAATGTTAGCACCTTTAATTTCAGTGAAGTCCTTGACATGAACAACCAAGGACAAAAGAAACCATTTAGGAGAAACTTTACTCCTATTGGTATGAGTTATGACACCGCATTTGATCGATTGAATGCAAAAGGTCTTATAACTCCTATTGGACCATTTGGGGACCCACTAGTTGAAAAAAGGACAGCTAATTAGAACCCCAATGCACACTGAAAAAATCACCAAGGTAGGGGACATCTCACTAAGAATTGTTGGAAGCTTAATGAAGCTATCCAAGATTTAATTGATAACAAAAAACTACCATTGCCCCTTGCTAGTAAGAAGCCAAGCAAAGATAATGCACCTTTCTCCCATACCTTGGCCATCTCTGATGAGGAAAACGATGTTGATCCCTCATCTCTCACCAAACCTGTTGAAGAAATCCATGCTATCAAAGAAGAGGAGGAAATCTTTTTCGATGCCATGGATGACTTTCCAGAACCAGCAAGCAAGGAAGATGTGCGAATGTTTATATGGTCCATGTGGGAGGGAATAAACTTACTACATGAGGCTATTGATTTTGCAAAGAAAGAAGGAGAGGATCTTCAGAAAAAGTATGATAACGTTCCACCAATGAAGAAGAAAACATTCCCTCTCCAAGTAATTGACACACAAAGAAGAGTAATAAGCGTTATACTCCAAGTGGGACTACTTATGCTAAAATGTTCAAAATGTTCTCTGAGAATGGTGAAGTAAAACCTTTCGAACCGAGACCATTTGAATCTCTAAAGAGGATAGACAGGTTCTATTGTCCATACCATCAATCGGGGGAACATAC